TTTTTTTTTATTTAAGGAGAAAAGAAAAGAAAGAAAAAAAACAGTGAAGGGGTACAAGTTATACAGATTTACAGAAGAAAAAAATGCGCAGTAGGAAATCACTAGTTAATGGATTACATATTGCCATCTTAGAAATAATTGTTCAAGTCACAAAATTAAAGCCTGTAGAGTGGACATTCTAACAATGATACTGCAAACAGTTCCGTTCAATGATCCAATAAAACTCTGCAATATCATTTTCTATCTTATACATTTAAATATACATGCAGTTATATAGTTTAGAGCACTTTCTTTTCCTCTCTTTTGTACAGTGACTATTACACATTTTGGGTTTCATTGTTCCCACGGTTCTTATTGCTTTTTTGAAAGAGAGTAAAACAAAATGTGACATAACAGAACAGAATCGGTCAAGTCAAAAGGGTGGATATAATAGATAATATAAAAACATAATACAAGGTGATCAACAATGGTTACCATAATGCCTCCCGCTATTTCTAATAGAATTCCCTATATCATTAGTTGTAATACAATTGAACAAAACCGTAAAGAATAAAACCGACAAAACCAAAACATTGGAGACATTGTAGGTCTTGAAAAGTAGATAAAAGTCAACGAGAATGGGTGTTATAATAAATCTCATTATCTTCTCAGCTGATGCCTAAACTTTCGAACCTGATACTATCCAGCAAAACAGAATAGAGGAACCTCAGTCAAAAACAAGATGGTGAGAGTAGGGCTTCAAATCGAGATAATAGAAAGTCAAAGTGGGTTACTATATTATATCCTGCTATATTTTTCCCTATAATTAAATGGATAAAAATAAAAAAGTAAATAATGGAGTGGAAATTGAGAAAAAAGAGGGCATAACAGCGAAACAGGGCAGATCAAAACATAACCATTTAAGCAGAATAGTATTTCACCACCAGATATTTCCGACCCAAAAATAGTTACCATATTGACTCCCTCCCTGAAGTCCTTAAGTACAACTTCATATACTGTAGCATTAAGTATATCAAAACAATGTAAAACCATTTAGGAGAATGACAGCATTATAGAGTATTTAGAATCGACTAACAGAAAATGAACAATGGTCTCTGTATAATCTCCTTGTCTTTAAAAGGTTTTTGCTTATACTATCGTACATAACAAAATCCAATAAGATACAACCTGTTTAGACCATTGGAGACAGAAGAACAAAAGCTAGATGAGACTTCAAAACAAGATGGTACTAAATCAGCATTACCTATTAAGATGTCATTTTCTCCAAAATATCTGTTCCTATCATCCAATCTTCTCTGTCTCATTTCTGTTGAGCTCTTTTTCTGTCAGTAGCTGTCAGTTTGTCTTCTTCATTTTGTTCTCTGCTCCATTCGTTGTGGCCTCCCCGCCACTATTTCTGGGTTCTTTGTATTTTTCTTTTTTTAGAATATCCTGCAATACTTTCTGTAGGGTTGAATTGGTGGTTGCAAATTCCCCCAGTTCCTCTTTATCCTGGAAGCACCTCGTTTTTCCATCAATTTCCAGGGACAGCTGTGCAGGATATCTCAATCTTGGCTGGAGATTATTATCTTTCAAAGCTTGAATTATTTCCCCCCATGCTCTTCGTGATTTGATGATTTGTGAAGAGAAATCTGCTGTGATTCTGATGGGTGTTCCCTTGTAAGTGATCTGTTTCTTGTCTCTAACAGCTTTTAATATTCTGTTCTTGTATTGAATTTCTGGAATTTTTATTATTATATGCCTGGGTGTTTCTCTGTTAGGGTTGTAGGTAGCTGGGGTCCTGTATGCCTCATACATCTGAGTATCTTTACCTTTTGCTAAATTAGGAAAATTCTCCTGGATTATTTCTGTGAGTAGCTTTTGTAGTTCACTTGTTTGTGTCCCTACTTCTTCTTTTATGTTCTTAATCCTTAAGTTATGGCTCCTCTTATCATCTTCTTGTCTTTGTATTATTGCTGTTTGTTTCTTTGTTATTTTTAAGAAATTTTTCATTTCTTTCTCCCATATTTCAAGTCTGCCCTCCAGTTCAGATAGTCTGTCCTTAGTTTCTTTCAAGCTGTTATGCCAGTCTTGGATAGACTTCTTAATTTCTTGATAGTCCCTTTGAACCTGCTTCACATACTCAATGCTTTCTCTGTTTTCTCCATCAAGCAATTCTCCCCTCTTTTTCTGTTCTTCCATTCCACCATCTGTTTTTTCCTGGGTGGTGCTTAGCATTTCTCTAACTATTCTGCATACTTCTAGCTTCAGGCCGTTGATAACTTCATTCCTGAATTGGTCTATGAGGCTCTCTATATGGCGCTTAATGTATATTGGTGCGGTGTCCACTATTGCCTGATTCTCAGGATTGGGGGCCAAGGAGCCTTTTTTGTTGCTTTCCTTCCCCATATTTTCTGTTCCTTACAAAATGCAAGCTTACATAGGAGGCCCGGCTTCCCTGCCTGTCAGCCACAGCCTGATCAAATTGCGCGGGCTAGTTGTCGCAGGAGTCGCGGAGGAGGCAGCCTACGCGGGAGTCAGTCGCTCCTCCGGGCCACCATCAGGCTCTGGGATCTGGGTTAGGCCAGCCTAGGGAGTCCGCCAGCAGCGTCACTCAGGCCAGGGACTTTTCACCAATCCCGTCCGAGAGGGGAATGTGTGGTTGGAGTTGCCACCGCGCCCTGCTCTTACAGGACTGACTGAGCCCAGAAAGTCCGCCGCTGGAGTCAAACTGTGGTAGGGGGTCAGTTTCTCGCTCACCTCACCATCAGTCACTTTTCTTGTACGCCTCCTTGTCCGTCCTGTTTTCGACTCCGTTCGCAGACTCCTGTTCCCAGAGCTTGGCGCGTCTCTCCTTGCCGAGCCGCTGTGGAGGCAGCCACCCGCCGGGCGGCGGGAAATCCAAACCGTGGCTTCCAATGGCGCGGGGTTGAGCCTCTACCCTGAGTCTTTTCTGTTCCTATTTTAGCGCCAGGACTGTATCCTAAGTTGGTTTCTCTCAGCCCAGTTCATTCCTGAGTGAGCAGAGCATATCTCTACTGATTCGTGTCTCCTTAGTCCGCATCATTCCTGGCCTCTGAGCCGAGCCTTTCAGAGAGCCTTCGGTAGTTGCTGTTGTCTGTCCGCCATGTTCTCCCAGAGTCTGAAGAATGAATAATTAAGAACAATGGAGGTAAGAGCAGAACATATTTTTGCAAGAAAGAAATTGAGAGGATTTTGCTCTAGATGGGATATTTCAGCACTGGGAGGTGGGACCAGGGGTCTCTTTCCTCTCTTCTGTGCAACTTACCTGTGGCATGAAAAGACTCCCAATCAGCTACTTGCACATCAGCAATGCCCCCTTTAAGCACCACCCCAATGGAAAATTATATGTATGCCCCCAAATGGCATTTTTACTTTGTATTCTCTCTTTTACCACACCAAAAATCCTATCATTTTGTTCCCTGACCACTAAGGCAGATTGAGTGTCTCCTGGGAATCCCTCCCATTTTGAGTCCCGCTTCCTTAAAACCACCTCTTTCTTCCTCCAGACAGTTTACTTGCCACTGCTAATCTGCATACAACCGCAGCCTTACTCACTGAACATGGGTGAGACACCATCTGGGTTTTTTTTGTTGTTGTTGTTTGTTTCTGTTCCTTAGCAAGCTTGTGACATAAAATCCATCCTGCCATCCCTGAACAGGGTTACTAGTTTCCATACTCCTTTGGCCACAGGGCTGGAGGTAACACTCTGATTTTTGTGTGCTGGGACCCTGCCCTGCTCTCTTTGATTATCTGCAAAGAAGAATGGGTGTTGGGACTTTGCCTGTCATACTTTCAAAATAGATTATGATCTTTTATGTTGTGTGTGACTGAGCACAGCTTCCACGTTCCTTGGCGGTGCTACAGCTCTTAGTTCCTGAGGTGAAATTGTTCTCTCAGCTCCCTTATAATTCAGTCATGGGGACCGCTTTATGTCTTCCAGAAAACACCTCCGTGGTGCCTGGTTCGTAACCTTGGTGCTTTGGGCCTCTAAAAGGCTACAACAACCAAAAAGCTGATCTTTTATTTATGCTTTTGTCAAAATGGTGACAAGTTGGCAAAAACCCTTCATCTTTAGGCCTTCTTCACTTTAAGGACGTGGTTTTCTCTCACTCTGTCTTCTGTGATGGCCCAAGTACTCCTGGCTCGCTCTGCTCCACCAGGATCTCTCCCTTCCCCTCACTTGTGATGCGGCTTCTGTCTTTACAGCTTCTCCCCATATCTCTCATACCAAATCCTGCTGCTTTCTCAGCCAAAGCTTTCTGTGGCATCCTCTCCTCCTCCATCACTCCCAAGAGTCTCCAATCCTCCCCCTAGGGTCTCCAGTCTTTCCCCTAGGGTCTCTAATCCTTCCCCTAGCATTTCTCACAAGGCTCTGACTTCTCAATCCCCCTGCTCTTGCTGTCAGTCCTGTCTGAGGGTTCTTTTTCTTCTTCGCCTGCATCGCCATTTTCTTTGCCTGCCCACCATACTCGGTCTCAGGGATTGCAGCCTTCTGGAAGGCCACATGGTTGCCAGAAGCCATGTTGATTACGCACATGCATCTGCTGGGCTCATTTCTACTGCTGCTTTGGGAACAGGCTGGACCTAAAAGATTAACTAATATTTGTGTTCCTTCTTTTTAACTTTCTGAGCTACCTCAGGTTAACCATTAATTAGGTTCCTTTTCAGTGATTCTTATTTCACGAGATCTCTATTAATTGATCTATAAGAAGGTTCACTCTATTATAGTTCAAGGTGGCCAAATATATTTGAGGGCATTCTAATTTTATAAGATGATTGTCAGTTCATATATATCTGTTGTCCATTTGTCCAATTGTCTGCTCTGTTAGCAGCTTTTTCTTTTTATTTGAGCTCGACAACTTTTTCCTCGGCATTTATATTTTCATATTATGTAATAAAGGTTTATTTGGGTAACAGATTTAAAAGACATGGTTCCACCTAAGTTGCCAGCTGGTCAAAATGATGCTAAAATGGTTAAACAAAATCCATTGGGGTGAGGCAAAATTAGACAGCACTTCAAGTGATAGACAAGAATGTGGCACCTGGTAACTTTTTTAAAAATTTATTTTAATTTTAAAGAGATTAAAATAAAAGAGCACTTAACAAATGTGATTGGAGCACAACAGTTTAAGCAACACAGTATTTCACACAATACAACCTGACATACCAGTGGCTACCTTAGTGTCTCTTTCCTTGAAGTAGTTGAGTATATTTTCATACACAATAGTATCAAACATAACAAAATATTATAAAATCATTAAAGAGCATGAAATTATTACAGATAATTCAGAACCAAATAACACAAAATGAACAATGGTTACTATATTATCTCATTGTCCATAAAATATTTGTTTATACTACCACACAAAATACAATCCAATTAGATACAACAAGATAGAACCAAGGAAAGAAAAGACTAAAAGCATGTTAGCACTTCAAAACAAGATGATATTAAATCAGCACTAGCTATTATAATGTCTTGTTTTCTTCAAAATAGCTGTTCAAATAATCATAGATAATACAGTAACCATTGTTCATTTTGTGTTATTTAGTTCTGAATAAAATCAAACAACCCAGGATGAAACCATTCTGAGTAATGAATGGGAATATTATAAGGTTCCAAAGCAATGTAATGGGGAAGCAGGATTACCACGAACTCTTATGTACTCTTAGCATTTCTCACACTAGGAACACTATATGGTATTTACACATAAACAATCAGGTAACTGTAACCAGGTCAGGTTCACTGATAGGAGGTCCAAATATACCCTATAGCCCTATGGGAGAAAGCTCAAGTAAAGTTCGTATTACTAAGACAATTCATTTTGCTGATCTGATGGTATATTCATGCCTTCAAATATAAAATTGTGATTGTTCATGATGACAAATATTTTCTTTCATATTTGATGTCTTATGCCTTTTTCTTGTGTTCCAGCCTGGTGATTTAGATCAGAACAATACAAGGTCACCAGTCAAATAATAATTTTTAACACAAATTTATGTAATGTAATAGTGAGCAGTCCAAAATATGTCACACATTTCTTCAGTGCTCAAATGTTAAAACACCCATGGTTAATAGAAAATAACAGTTCCATTTAGTGTTCTGTATTAAGTTTACTGCTTGTCCTGCACTGTATGGTATTAATCTTCTGGATGTTTAACAGCTACAGTTAAGAAATAAATATAAATTCCCTTTGGATTCCTTGTGCTAGGACCCACCAGATATTTTCTAGAAAAAAAAAAAGGTTCTATGATGCAGGGGCAACAGAACAATGAGACCATGAGTGGGGCTGAGACTGGGGCAGCAGCCAGGTCAGAGCCAGTCCAAGCCTGTCTGTCAGCACTGGCTCAGCCCTTAGGATAGGGATGCATTTGCTTGGTGTTTTGTCTTGAGGCCTGACCCAAAACAGGAGGTAACCATCTCCTCCATGGTTGCAAGGTATCTGGGCTTTTGCACTGGCCATTTCTAAGACCTACTCCTGTCTCACTGCCTATATATTTCTATCTAACTCAACTGCCTGTAACAACAGGGCTGGGACCTCAAAGGAGCAAGAGGATAAATTCAGATTGCTTATAGCCTTGGAAGAGACAATCACCTCCTGCTCTGGCCCAAATCTCAAGACAAAAGCCAACAGAAATACAACCAAGTGCTAAGGACCAATCGTCCAAATAGTTCTGTATCACCCTGAAGAAGTCAAGAGTCATCATCCCAGTCCCCTACATGAAGAGTCCCTGCTGTTAAGCAAGCCCACTTATTATGGGACATGCTCCCCCATTTGTTCCTAATTGAATGAATTTTACCTGAGCAGTTGACCCTATTAGTTGAACACAGCTCTATCCTGCCTTATGTTCATCTTGCAAATTCCATTCTTCTCCTCTTTTGACCCATCTAACCTCCGTTATTTCTCTCTAAATAAAGAGTCTTTGGCAACCTACTCAGGACCCCTTCTGTCTCTCAGACAGAAGCTTTCTTTCTCTCAATAAATATAATCCATTCTTATACTCCATCATTCCTGAACTTTATTCTTCTATTTTAGAGAACACAAGGTCATACCAGACATATAGTAGGTCAGGAGTTTCATTCTCCTCTGTCATTAACATGAGCCAAATTAACATAAAAATCTTTATGATCTGTCTGAATGCTTTTCACTTTTCTTGCAGTTTTAATTGATCAATACAACTCACAGTGGTTGTATTCCTGGCAATGTATAAAGTTGTATACATCAGTCATTATAAGTGTAAAATAATTGGTTTGAGTGTATAATTTAGCAAGAACTAGATATTGCCACAAAGTAGGTTACCTCACATAAAAGTGAAGGTTCACCTAAAATTGTTCAGAACAATTTCTACATTACTGGCTGCTTCAACAATTTTAAGACACATAAACTGTGTATTTTTTTCCTTTTTCTAGAAGGCTTCTATTATGTTATTGAAAGAAGTCTGTATGCCTGTAGGACTCTGTTTATATTTTGATGCTTTTTCTGCATTGAAGTTTATATGAAGATTTATTTTTACCTTTGGATAAAACTCACTGCATTGACACTGATGGAGTGAATCAACAGTCCCCTACATTCATTTCAATTAGATATTCTTGGCATTGATCATATGAATTACTGAGGAGTAAATTAGCTACAAACATAGACAAGAATCGGTATTGTTAGCATTTTCTGGTGCAATAGAGAAGCAGAATATTAGAAAAAGTAAGAGTGGCTTTTCTATTTAAGGAATGTGAGGAGGAGCCCCCAAAACCAAGTTCTTTTTTGACTGACTATGGGGTTAGGGGTATATGTGATTTTTACCTGGATGTGGAGATTGGAACAGACATTTCTCCCACTCCCTGCAGCCCCACATGTGCGGAGTTGATTGGAATTTTCTTCAGGCCCCTGGGAAAGGAATGAGGAAGTTGTAATCAGGGAAAAAGAGGAAGTGGCCATATGGTTAGCATCCCTGATTGGGCCTTCCACCATGTTGAACTACCACCAGGAGGTCCTGTAACTCATTCTAGGGCAAAATTCTTTCAAGTACATCCCTCAGTTTGAATGACAAAACAAAAATAAAGAAGTTTTGCTATGTGTCTTCCTCCAAGGCTGGTGGTAAATCATTCACAAGAAATATTTTGAGTCATATCCTTAATAAATTGTAGATACCATAACCAAAATTACAGATCAGTTCACTTTCAGAAAACAGAAGCAGCACTTAAATGCAGGCATAAAGGCCTTCAATGAGAGTATCCCTGAAGAGGTGAGATCAACATTACAGAACACAAACTACTACTCATTTATCTGAGTTCACTAAAGAGAAAAATTTATAATGGTGTTGCTACAGAGGAAAGAAACTCCTGATCTACTATGTCCAGTGTGAGTTTGTCCTCTCTAAAATTAAAGCATAAATTTTAGGAACAACAGAATTTAAGAGTAGAATATATTTATTGGGAGAAAGAAAGCTGTCTGAGAGAGAGAAGGGGTCCTGAGCGGGTTGCCAAAGACTGTCTTTTCTAGGGACTTTTATAGAGTAAAATCATTTGGTGAGATGAATTTAACATGGGAATACTCAGAACTCACAAGACAGATGAGCATAAGAAGTTTGTGTTGTTAAATTCGATCTCTGGTACCTATAAAAAGTAAAAAGACCAAAAAAAAAAAAATAGAAAGAAATATGGGAGCCAATAAGATTAATAGTTCAGGTAATTTGATTAAATTGGGATCAAATGGGGAAGGGAGTCACATAGAAAGCAGACATTCTTATGCAGTAGTGACCCTTCACTTATTGGGTTCAGAAGGTGACTCATGACTTCACCAGGATGATAGGAATTATTTAGAATATCAGGCTTTAGGATAGGGATACATTTATTTGAATGGTGACTGCTGACTTCCTCAGAGTGCTAGGGAAGTATTTCAAATCAATCTTTACAATATGAATACATTTGCTCAAACTTTTTCCTGAAGTCTGACCCCTAGCAGGAAGTGTCAATCTTCCCCATAGTTGCAAGGTATCTGGACTTCTGCATGGGCTCCTTGGAGGACCAAGCCCTGTCTCACTGCCAACATTATTTGACTAACTCAGCTCAGTATTGTTCAGAAAATTGAATACAGATGTCTTGTGCTCTGAATGATGATCTGGGGATGACAGTGTGCAATGTATTTACAATTGTTGTCCCTGATTGACATGATTTGAAATTTAGTTTTACTTTTTCTTTTTATCCTTGAAATCAAATCGATTTGGAAATAAAAAGTCTGAGGTAAATCTCTTTGGTACAAGCACTCCTCTGTGGATATCAGCACTGTAGAAGACAGCCAGCTCTAGAAGTCTGCACTACAGTCTATCATTTGGGATCCTCTCTTGCAGGGAGGGGTTCCTTCCCTTCTTATTCTTGACTCACAAGGAGGGCAATAGAGCAAGACTCAATCATTGATGAAGAAGTGGGCTATATGAACTGTCCAACCAGGTGGGCCATGGCAGGCAGTCACCAAGGTCTTTCCTGTATCACGGCATTATTGACCTGTTGTGAACACAGTACTGGAGCAGAATGTTTGCTGGATCTCATTTAGTGGTTTCAATGTCATGTAGCCTGATTAGGAAAGAACCTGGGATATCTTCAAGCCACAGAATGCTGAGGTTGTGGATGGGAGCCCAGAAATAGGGTGCAAAAGGGCTAAACCAGTTACAAGTGGTTAGAAGCAGTGCCGGTGTCCCGATCCTCAGGTATTTAGTTAGCTTCCGCTCCTGAGGTCCTCCAGCATTGGCTGTGGGTCATCCATTGTGCATTTTGCCTCTTTCTGGTGGAAAGAGTGACTCTATCTTCTCTTTGACAGCAGGAGATTCCAGTATCATCTTTGAAATTCTCTGCTGCCTTGGCACCTCCACAAGCTCAGTGAGGGAAGGAGCTTGGGGACACCCCAACACTGATGCATTTGTAGCTGCTACAAAAGTACTGAGGAAGGTCTCTGCCCTCATTGCTGTGAGAAGCAGACCTGGAGGGTCTGATGTTTATAAATGTCTGTGATACAGGGCCTCATGGACAAAAATGCTCTCCTTAAACTTGTGCTTTTTTGTACTTAGAGTGATCTCCTAAATTTTTAGTATGTTCTTGTGTTTCCATCCTCATCACAGGTGTTAGCAAAGGTACTGAGTATTCAAAGATGTGTAGTGATGTGCCTCAGTGGAGGAAGGCTTCCCAAACACCCGGTAAACTCCTGTATATCATACAGGACAATGCAAAAGAATTTTAAAAATAATTATTTAGGTGCCACCTCTGCTCACAGACTTTGTGAGAACAGCCATGGATTTTTGAATTCTGAGAAAAATGAAGCAGATATGAAAATGTTATCAAGGGCAGGGTAACATATGCTTGCTAAGGACAAATTCCAGAATCACCTGCCTGTTAAACCCTCATTGGAAAATGCTAAAACTTATGCATTTGCATGGACACATGCACATGATATCCTTCTGGATGGAAATGAATATGGGTGTCATCTCTGAATTAACACCTGATTTAAATGCTTGGCTGATAATACACATTGTTTATATATAGAAATTCTCTGCAATGGACTTTACTAAGTGGTATAAAATAGAATCCCTAAATAGAAGTTGTGCTGCAAGTATATGCATAGTTAGGCATGAAGGGTTTTTTGTGTAGTGTGGATCAGAGCAGCATGGAAAGGATGTGCAAGTGATTGGCATGATACAGAGAGTCAATAGCAGGATTTACAACTGAGAGGATCTTTACTGAAAGTCAAGTAGTTCTTAGAGTAAGCATGAAGTTAAAGCTGGCTTCTTATTTCTTACTTGAGATGAATAACCCCAGCTCTGTCAATAATCAGTATTCTACATACTTGTTAACACATGAATTCTGTGTTCCATAATTGAGATCTAATTTTGATTTTTTTTTGTCTTTTTCCTTTTTATCGGTACCAGGGATCGAACTCATGACTGTCTGCTTGCAAGGGAGGTGCTTATGCTGCTGAGCTAAATCTCCAGTCCTAATTTTGATTTTCTCTAATTATGTGCCAGTGTCATGAAGTAGGAATTTGAATCTTTTATTTTTTTGTACCAGGGATCAAACTCATTAACTCATGCTTACCAAGCAGGTGTTTATGCCACTGAGATAAATACGCAAACATGAATGTGTTTTCTGTATATTCTGGAAAGAATCAACATTCTTCCTCAGAACATGTTGAAAGTACTTGGAATGTTATTATATTGTATGGATATAATTTTTAAAGCAAACCAATGGTGCTTTATGCAGTCAATTTCCAAGTTTCATTTTTTTGTGGGGTTTTGCAGTCAGGGTCTTTCTCTCTATTTCAGACAGCTCTGTAAATCCAACTCAAGACAGTTCTCTTGCATCAGCCTCCCAAGATATATTTCTTATTTCTGAGTGAAAGGTGATCACTTTGTGACATTGAGCTACAATTTGCAATGTGTGCCTTGTTTCAATGTTTATACATTGTTTACATACAGAGTTTTCCATTATCATTTGAGTTATTATTAATGTACCATATTTGATGTTATTTATGTTTTGTTGTATGAAACTAAATTCAAATTTCAAAATGCTGCTTAAGTATATTAAGACAAAGGACTTAGTGACCTATATGAGATTTGAAGAGATATCATCTGTAGTTTATCAAAGTGATTCATGTGATATTTGTCTACCCCTTTGCTTTGTGGATGCTGGTCCTGCAGGCTCCCACTGTGAGCTCTGCTTTAGAGACAGTGAGCAGGGATTCTTGCAGTGACTCAGCACAAAAATCAGTGCTCCTATTTGGCTGTGAGTTGCAATCCAGCATCCAAAGTGCTTTTTCAAAAATTTGTCTATACATAAAATTACCAAGGCATGGTATTACCCTTTGTAGAATTCAGTCTCCATTCAGCTGTCATGTTTGGTTTTACTTTGTTTAGTTTAGTTTTGTTTTATTGAGACAGGCTTTCACTATGTACATCAACTGGATTTGAAACCTGTATGGTGCCTACAATTTCTTTGACTTCACAACACCCTACTCTCTCAGCCTCTTGAGTGTTGGGATAATAGATATGCACCAACTCTGCTTTTGATTCAGATTTTTATGAGAGAATTTAAGATATCCCAGGCCTTAAGTCTCAACCTTCCTTTGAGAAATATATGTATGAATCTTTAGGATCATACTTTTATCACTGGGCCACTCAGGAGTATCTCCTAACATCCCTTGGAAAGCACATTTGTTTATGCACTGACTATGCTGAGCGTCACTGGGGCAGTTGTCATTTGAACCAGTTGATTCTTATATTGAATACATTACAGTAGTCACTTTTATATTTCTTGTTATTTGATAAAAACTAACAAAAAGTATACAATTATTGATTATCTTTTATTTAAATAATTACACTGGTAAGGACTTACGTATAAAGCCCTAGGCTAAGTGTGATTCCTTTAGTCCCAGCATCAGTAGAGGATGAGATCAGATGATCATGGCTTTTGAAGCTGACTTTTGGAGGCAATTTTGCTACATGATCTAGCAGAATGTGTGGCAGTTGTTTTTATACCTGCATTTGAAGTTTAAGGAGACAAGTAAGTTTAGGTCAAGAATATAAATGTAGGATGGGATAACTGAAGCAAACTGCAAATCAAGATTCTTTGGCTCAGGAAATGTGCTTTCCATGGTAATTTGTGCAGCAGTCTTAAATATACCAGTATTAGAGTAAAACATAGTGAAACATGAATGAGCCAAGCATTCTATGTTCTGAATGTAGAGGCATTAACAAAACTTTTTTACTCAATGCTATTGCTGGTGCTTTTTATAGAAAATAAGATAGGGTAACAAAACAAGCAAAAAGAATTATATAAAATTTTAATACTCATGCACAAATGAAGAAGCCAAAAAACAAAACAAAACAAAACCCCAATCAA